GAAATAGCCGTCGATCGGCACAGGTGGTTACACCACCATCGACGACGCCATGGGTATCGATAGTACATTATGAAACCTTCTAGCAACAGGTAGAGAGTGAACGTGCAGCGCCCTATCGATCAAGCAATAGGTGCGATCGACAAGACTGTGAGCCTTTTCATCGTTGCCATAGCTATCGACCGATGTAAAACAGTAGTGTGATATTGGAATTACAATATGCGATCATGCTGGCATTCCCAAACTTATTGCATAATGCAATAGGTATCGATCTACCTACAACGATACCTTTCGATAGGCCACACGGGTCGCCTATCGATATTCCAACAGGCCATTGAATAGGCTATCGTCCGTGGTGTGACCTCGCACCGCCGTCACGGCTGCTTGGGGATGGCGGAGGCAGAGAGCATCACGCTGGTGTGCACCATCATGCGCATACGGTGTCGGCGGCGGGGAGTCTTTCTGGGTAGCAGGTGGCGGGCCCAGGGTATTCGTTTCCCCCGATTGGAGTGGGTGTCCTGCTGCCGTTGCTGGTGCGGTTCCGGCCGTGCTCCAGGCTGTCCTCACCGTTGCAAGTGGGGGCCGGCGGGTCGGGGTCCGTGCTCTTCGCGGTCCGTCGGCGACATAGGAAGAACCCAAGTGCTCCTAACGCCAGCGCGCCGGCCACAGCGCCGACTACAACCCCCACCATCGATGCGCCTTCTTTGTCCAGACGAGCAGCGGAATAGCAGCGATGAGCGTTGATGGAGGCGGGACCCTGTTAGGCAACGATTCAGGGCTGGTCTTTGCAATCCTTCCGTCGCATCTCGCAAGACTGCACGTACAACACGTGTGTGTACACCTGCCCACTTTCTCAATGAATTTCCAAGCACTTTGGAAGGAGTCGATGGCAACGGGAGAAGGTCCTTTCATCGGCACACCTCGAGGAATTCTGAGCATGAGGACAACAACTATCCACCGTGAAGGTGGACCCCCTCTCGCTCTCGAACATTGGCCAGAAGTCCTTGTGGCCACGGGTTTACCCTGCCTTGAGGTAAGCCGCAAGCTGAGCGGAGGTATCTAGGTAGACACATAACACATTGAACAAGCGAACGTCTAATCCCACGGAAGAGTATACCGCAGGGGAGTTTGACGAGGGAACCGACGGGGGTTGGTTTATTAAAGTCAACACTGCATCGCGAAGAAAAGGGCGAACAATGGGCAGAAATAAATGCGAGCGAGAGACCAGACATACTTTTGTCCATGGGGGTTTCAAGACGGGCTTATGTCGGCAAAGTCAATCTCGTTTGTCGGCAAAGCCAATCTCGTTTGCGTTGTGATGCATACGCTTCCACAACGCAACCGTCCTCCTGACGCGACCCGTGGGAGGGCGGTGACTGGGGATGGTGTGAGAAAAGGAGAATTGAGGCAGAGTAACCCCGTACAAGACAGCAGCGCCGAGCAATTTAACCCGCTGCGAACAATAAAATAGGCGTATTTGGTCGCTAATTGGCGGCGCCATTTCGCGTTCGCGTGGGTGTTCTGCGTAAGATACCACCACTGTATACCATCCCCCTTATCCTCTGCAATGCAATGTCGGGGAGATTAGCAGAATTAGCCGAAATCGATCGACTCGGGTATCAACCACGAGATAGAGGCGTTTTTCTTTATATATGAAAACGTAACGACAGAAAAACACACGGCGATGACCCATACAGCACGTAAGAAGCACACAACCAACAGAGGTTGGGAAACAGAACTAGGGGGAGCTTAGACCTTTCGTTCAATAGCGGTAATGACTACTAGCCCCGTGACATTGTGGATGGAATACCGTAGCCTTGACAAGGGCGGCCGGTGCTTGTTGCGGAAATACACCACCCCGGACGGTCGTGAACTGGGCATGTTTGGAGGAAAGCCGGGAATATGTCAATATTCGACCGCCCAGTGTCTCTTTTTGACAATACAGCGTGCCATAGTTAAACGGGACATAACAGGGTTTTCGCACGATTGAGAGCAAAGTTTCCGATTGAGAGCGAGAACCAAAAAAAATCGAAATTCGGGTCCAGACGCCTACCGTCATTTCTCGGGAAGCAGGGGACGGGCTCTTCCAAAAAGCGGCGCAAATTGAAGCTCTTTTCAGCAGCTTCGCGTGCATATGCGTGTCACTGCGATCGGCTGCAGCAGCGAGGAGCTACCCATGTTGCTAGATTTCCCCAGATTGGCTATTCCTGCCCGAAACTGTTTCAGGGCGCCGTCGCCTGGCGCGGTAGGCCCTCCCGTAGCTTCTGCTCCGCGGTGTAGCTTCACAACGCGAGACACCCGCAGGATGACCCGGGTATCGGCTTGTAGCTATGGGCAAGCCCTTCAATTCAAGCCGCACAGCAAGCTCTACCTCTCAGCAGTAGACAAGCTACATCGTATCGCACGATCTCGCTCGCAATCAGATACTTCGCTCTCAATCGTGCGAATATGTTGTTACATGCGGCATCAAGTCTCTCGGCTTCTGAGCTCGAGCCGGGTGGCTGCGTGGGTTGTGGGGTAGATCCCGGCGCGGTCGTGTCCAGTGCAGGTGTAGCCGCAGGCCCAAGTGTGGCCGCTGCCGCGAGATACCATGTTGGCGGGTATTGAAGCACGTATTTGGGTTGGAACAATCGAGAGCTTCGCCAGTTACTCATGCTTTACCCTACATAGCCCCAGCCGGAGGAGCGGAAAACTCAATCCAACGAGGGAGAAATTACAGACCACCTTCCTTGATGGTATTGATGCGCGAATTCAATCAGTCGACAGAAAAATCACAGCTTCGGAAGACATCGTGCTCGAGAGAGTCGTGAAGTTTTGAATGGGTCTTGCGACAAACAACGGTCGCAAACGTAAACTACAGGATTCCTGCCGGGACATCGGTTCAGACGCTGTCGTTCGGAGTTATTACAACATATACCATGATCCTACACTGCATGTAGGGAGCACACAAGCAACAGAGCTCAGTAACAACACTAGGGGAACCTTAGATCCTTCGTTCAGAAGTGGCGATGACTAGCTCCGTGATATGCCGGATAGAATAATTTAGCCTTAGCGAGGGCGACCGGTCTTGGGTGCGAAAAAATATCACTCCCACTGGTAGTGCGGCATCAAGTCTCTTGCCTTCTGAGCTCGAACCGGGTGGCTGCGTAGGTTGTGGGGCAGATTCCGGGGCGGTCGTGCCCAGTGCAGGTGCAGGCGTAGGCCCAAGTGTGGCCGCTGCAGCGAGTGCCAGGTTTGCTAGCACTCGCTGCAGCGGCCACACTTGGGCCTACGCCTGCACCTGCACTGGGCACGACCGCGCCGAAATCTGCCCCACAACCTACGCAGCCACCCGGCTCGAGCTCAAAAGGCAAGAAAGACGTATTTGGGTTTGGACGTTTGGACAATCGAGAGCTTCGCCAGCTACTCATGCTTTACCCTACATACCCCCAGCCGGAGGAGCGGAAAGCCAAGCCAACAACGGAAGAATGACAGACCACCTTTCGTTGGTACAGTTTCGTGCACTCAACCAGTTGGAAGAATAATAACTCCATTTTGTTAGAATAACTGCTTGAGAAGGTCATTTACAGTAATTAATGGGATTGGAGTCGGTTAAGGTGATCTCGAGAGGAGTTATCACAACATCGAATATGAAGATGCCTGTCTGCTCACTGCCTTCGTAGGCCATCAGCTGAGCCTGTAAACAATTGTGTTTTGGTAGCAGACGGCGTCTTGGCGCAACCTGAGCATGTTAAATCAAGGTCGCATCTAGTTCCTAGACATCGGGAAGCACTTGTCGTGGATGAATCTAGGCTATGGGTGTTGGACAGTATCAGTTCGTTGATTGCCCAAGTCTCTCGATGAAGAGGAAGAACTTGAACGATAATATATTACAGAGTTGCATTGCGGGCCTGTGTTTTCTCACCACACGTGTACCCTTCATTTCCGGGAGTGCACACTTCTTGGCCGCACACGTTGTCGATCACGCCCTCAATAGAACACCCTGGAAACGTTTGAAGAACATCAGTGTTTGGGGGCGCATCGCGAATATTGCACATGAAAGTACAAGCCCTAGTGCTGCTTAGGGAGGACGATGGCACACATCTTTCCCAAAATTGAGCATGCCTACATCCATCCCTCGCCCGATGGTTACCTTCGAGATCAGTCTCGCGCAGAGGTTCGCAGATACAGTTCTACACTTTTGCACCGAGTAAGAGCCGTCAAGTAGTATGGAACAGCCAGGTTTGAGCTCAATCAGCACTGCAGCTCCTTTCGATCATATCGTCGTGACTTCAAGCGATGGCCGCGACTGAACAATGTGCAGAGCCATCGTGGACCGTTATACCATGAATTCCGTTCACATTGTTGTTGTGTTTGTTGTTGTTGTTGTTGTTGTTGTTGTTGTTGTTGTTGTTGTTGTTGTTTCTCACGTTAGCTCTATAGTCCACAAAAAATGGGGAGCCCGTGGTCTCAAAACCCGGCACATACAACGCCGCGGGGAAACAAAACAAAAATAGGGTACAAACCACTCGGAAAAAGAAAACAATATGATAAGAAAGAAAACAACAGCTACCGCACCGACCGTTCGAGAAAAGAGCCATCGGAAACCGAGCAAAATTAAAACAAAAACAAAATACAGGAGGACGCTTCCCACACCCGCCTAAAGAAAAAATCAAAGGGTAACGTACCAGCACCAGGCACCACGCACCAGGGCATGGGAGTAACGGAGCAGACAGGACAAAGAGGCGGCAGATGGGCAGACAGCCAGACGTACAAAAACAATGGCAACAGCAAAAGCGAGATCAAGGTACCCAACACAGCAGAGTAGGCATGGAGGTCATGAAAAAAATAAACACAACACAGAGGCCGAAGGCAATCCAAAGGACATACATCAAGGAGTATAGCATACAGCAGGGAGGGGAACAGGGCGCAACAACATCAGCCGGGTACATAGTTCGCCACAAGTGCTGCCTCGGCCGCCCTACTCGCTTCTACAGCAGTGCCCGGTCGCCGTTTCTTCCCCCTCACCGCCGCTTCCCCGACTCTCTCTTCGGTCCTGCGATGGCCGTACTCTTTGCTTCTGCTTCCCTCGCGCGCTGGCGCTTCGCGGACGCTACCGCCTCCTGCACGTGCCATTTCCTCATGAACCATGCCGCCCCGTCCTCGACCTTGTTGTACCACACCTCCGGGTCCTTGGCGCTCTCTTTCCATTTCCCCCCTTCCTGTTCGACTCCCATGTTGAAGGCCACGAGGTCCTCTCCTAGACGAGACACCCAGTCGCTCTCCTGCCCGCCCCGGTATTCCACGCCCCCCGCCATCGCTCCTAACTGCATGCGCTTGGGGAGGCGACTGTCCTCCACGCGCATAACAAAGCCCGCGAGCTGAACAAAGCTGCGTGTACCACCACTCTATCTTTCCCCATCTCCTGTGGCAAGCCCGCAGTTCCTTGTCTCTCCAACGTACTCACGAGAGGTCGAAGTCAGGGAAGTGTTATCGCTGTTCAATCTGAGGTCCCACGGCATCCACTGCTTGCTGCTGCTGCATTACTGTACGATCCTCTTCCCACAAAACAATGTGTCATATATCTCCGGTCTTGATCGAGACATAACCACGGCATCCACTGCTTGCTGCTGCTGCATTACTGTACGATCCTCTTCCCACAAAACAATGTGTCATATATCTCCGGTCTTGATCGAGACATAACCACGGCATCCACTGCTTGCTGCTGCTGCATTACTGTACGATCCTCTTCCCACAAAACAATGTGTCATATATCTCCGGTCTTGATCGAGACATAACCACGGCATCCACTGCTTGCTGCTGCTGCATTACTGTACGATCCTCTTCCCACAAAACAATGTGTCATATATCTCCGGTCTTGATCGAGACATAACCACGGCATCCACTGCTTGCTGCTGCTGCATTACTGTACGATCCTCTTCCCACAAAACAATGTGTCATATATCTCCGGTCTTGATCGAGACATAACCACGGCATCCACTGCTTGCTGCTGCTGCATTGCTGTGTACGAACGACCCTCTGCGTACGCAACAACGTGCCATACATCTCCGGTCTTGATGTGTCTATACACGTAATATTCCAGACGAAAGCGACCACCTGATGCTTCTGTGTCTGATACTTCCGTAGACATATCTGAGCTGCGTCATGTATTTGTGTGCAGCTAAAGTGATCACGTGGGGTATTCAGAGGTATTCATCCACCGCCGCCCGCCTGGCCCTCTCTCTCCTCCCTCTCCGATACGAAACGAGAACCGAGAGAGTTCCGCCGTCGGCGGTGGGTTGCAGGAGGAGTCTTCCAGGAGAAAGATCCACTTCAAACGAGAGTTCCGCCGCGTTAGCCGCGTTAGGTCCGCCTCCGCCCGCCGTCGGAAGCGTCGGATTTCGGGTGCGAGGTGTTGGTGACGTGCGTTCGTGAGCGTGGTCTGCTGGTGGTCTGTTGGTCGAATAGCCCAGCCATTTTCGGGTAGGCGAGAGTAAGATCGGGTACCCCTCCGGGGGGTGAGTAGCCAAGATCGGGTGCACCCCGTGGGAATAGGGTCAGGGCCGGGTAGGGGCGGGCGTCGGCCAATCAGATGGCGCCAGGAGGGCGCTGCCGACTGTGTAAAACAAGTGTACCCGAGAATGGCCGGATTGGGGCCAGGTGTACCCGATTTTGGCCACTGCTCTATAAAACATACTAAGTATTATAAGTATGATATACAACTGATATATATAATATATAGTAATATACACCAGGTAATACACCAAGTACTCCTAATATGTGTGACTTGTTCACTACTGAAAAGTATTAGCATTTAATGTTGAAGATGTAAGTGTAAGAATATAAAAAATGTAAAATATACAATGGAAACCTAATTTTTTTTTTTGTGAAGTATGATTCTAGATTGCCAGGTATACATTAACATTATACAGTCACGATGGCCCTGCTCGACCATCTTGCTTTCTGACTTTCTGATTCTTGTCCTCCGGTGCGTGTTCTGTGATAAAGTGGGGAAATCATCAGCAGGGCTATCAGCAAAGGCGCCGAGCTCAGCAGCTCCATTAGCAGGCGCACCGAGCTCATCATCGCTCAAAAGTTACATGGTGCCGACGATGACCAAACAACGGAGGGAAGCGGCCGGCCGCCGTTTCGTCCTCTGGTGCTGCATCGACCTGAGGCCGGAGCAAGTGCGGTTCGATCAAGGCTTCAAGCTCTTCTTGGGGTCTCTTTCCCCCGGGTACGTGAAACCACAATGGCCAAGAACACGTTCAACCAGATCTTGGACGAGGTTTACGGCGCGGTACTTTCATCCGTTGTCGGCGAGTTGCGGACGCTACGAGAGGAGAACCTCGGCGTGGGGTAGTCGAGACCTTTCCTTGGTGCCCAGCTGGATCTTACAACGGCGGGCGGCGAGGAATACATCACCTTCACCGTAACGTTCGTGAAGAAGGGCAACACGGACATCACCCGCATCGCGCTGGCGACACGGGCGTTTCCCGGCAGCTACACTGCCAAGGACATCCAACCCTGGGTTGAGTTGAGGCGCTTTTGTTTTTGTGTTCTGTTGGAACTACGGTACTTTTGAAATGGTGTCTCATGGAAACATTTTTTTTTGTGTTTTATAGTTTTAATTCTTTATTTTATTTATTTCTTGATCTCGTCTCATCCGTTGTCACGCCCCGCACTTCGCAGCTCACGCTAGAGTACTTTTCGGGATTCATGGGCGAGTCTGTGGTGCCATCGGACGTCTTCCTCGCATGTACGGTGGATCAAGGGAAGAACGTCATCAACGCGTGTACGGCGTTGAGTCTTACTGTCATCGAGTGCAACTGCCACCGCGTCAACACCGCAGTCGTGTGGGCGTTGGGCATAGTCAGGAAAGGGAGAAAGAACCATGCAGAAGCTGGCAGCGATGGTTGGTGTTTTCAGCCACTCCGCCGTCAACAACGACGAGCTGAAGGAACTCCAGAGGCTAGAAGAGGGCTTTTCGCGCATCTACGAGCTCCTCAGACGAAACGACACAAGGTGAATAGTGATTGGTGATATGTGATTTGTCATTTTGTGATTTGCGGTTTGTGGCGAAATTGAAACAACAATTAACTGGACACGTCCACCCTCTGTTCAACCGGCCCCGCCCCCACTCTCCGCGGTCTGATGATGTTCCAGTTTGCAAATTCTTGTCCCCATGATAAGGTGAACCAGCCAGTTCAAGATGACGGATCGTTCCCTAGCCTTGAAGAAGCCCATCTCCGAGTACTTCAAAAAATCCCCCCAGAACGAGCGACAGCTGACACCGAACGAATGGACCATCATCAACGAGGTGTGCAGCCTCCTGAGCGACGTTTCCGAGGTCACCATACGGATGCAAGGGTCCGTGGATACCCACATCGGCCAGGCGATGTTCATCATTCACGAGCTGATCGAGATGCTGGGGTAGGACACCCACCCAATCCGACAGCCAAACGCCACTGTCGTGCCGGTCCCACCGGAAGGCATCCCCACGGACGACACCCAGGTGACGGACCTGACCGTGGAGGCGCGGTGCGTGCTCGAGGTGCTGCTGGACGTGATGAGAGAGAAGGGGGTGGGGAGCGCTCAGGTTGCTGTGGAGCGTCTGGCCGCGGTGATGGACCCGAGACGGAAGTTGCTTGATAGCGACCAACTCGAGAACGGTTCTGCAGATCTCAGGAAGAAGGCCGAAGACGACTTGAAGGCGGTCATCGCCAAGTTTGACGTCGGGCCGTCCACCGAGTCTACGGCGGTGCCAGCGCCAGCTCCGGTGGTGAACACGGACCCGGCGGAACCCGCACCCAAGAAGAAGAAAGTCTCGAGATTGGAGGAACGGCGCGCGGCGATGTCTGAGACGCATCGCCGCGCGCCGTTCCTCCAATCTCGAGACTTTCTTCTTCTTGGGTGCGGGTTCCGCCGGGTCCGTGTTCACCACCGGAGCTGGCGCTGGCACCGCCGTAGACTCGGTGGACGGCCCGACGTCAAACTTGGCGATGACCGCCTTCAAGTCGTCTTCGGCCTTCTTCCTGAGATCTGCAGAACCGTTCTCGAGTTGGTCGCTATCAAGCAACTTCCGTCTCGGGTCCATCACCGCGGCCAGACGCTCCACAGCAACCTGAGCGCTCCCCACCTCGAGCACGCACTGTGCCTCCACGGTCAGGTCCGTCACCTGGGTGTCGTCCGTGGGGATGCCTTCCGGTGGGACCGGCACGACAGTGGCGTTTGGCTGTCGGATTGGGTGGGTGTCCTACCCCAGCATCTCGATCAGCTCGTGAATGACGCTGTACGCTGTCCGCACCACTCACAGTTCCGTGGTGCACACGGTAAGCGCGTGTGCACTTCTGCTGGTTCATGAACAGCAGTCCAAGTGAAAATCACTGTCAAACAGGGTTCATCGTGCGCCCCTTCCCACAGAAAAGAGGCCCCTTCCCACAGAAAAGAGGGAGCGGCCGTTTTTTTTTTGCATGTTCGTCGATGTCCAACGTACTCTGTCTCCACGGACGTGTGTGATGGCAGGGGCGGGTGTCATGGCGTGCTTGTGTTCCCCAATGGTGAACTGCAGCGGGATGGAAGGAGAGGGGATTGATTTACACATTTCGATGCACCTAAACAGCACAACCCAACAGCAGTACAGCCGTTATTTCGTACAGGTAGTCTGCTGTTGACTGGTGTACGCAGTCTACTGCATGCTAGGTTCGAACCATGTAGTTGTCGCACCTGGTAGTTCATGCCCTCTGTCATCTTGTGCCCTGAAAAGAATCGATCCGGACACGGATGTTCGGTGACGCTAGACTTCTTGCGTCGCACAAGGAGTCCATCCAATGCTCCCACACAGCGCTCAGGACAGGGTCAAGCTGGGAACTTCGAGCAGCAAATCCCCGCACCTTCGCTTGCAGCTCCCCCTCCGTTCTCGGCCACTATATCTGAAGCCTCCCACTGTCGTTGATTGCATCCAGCCCTGTATTGATCTTCGCAAATGCTGTGCTCATGGCCATGTGGGGACCATCAGCCGCAGCGCTGAGGCCGTGCCCTCCGAGCCACCGCAACGTGCTAGCTAGCGCCCACTCCCCAGCTATATTGCCGTTGTGGCCACGCCCTTTGGGGCTATGGCACTCAAGACGTCCCCGCAGCATCTCGTACAGCCCTTTGAACTCCTTCGGGCTCATACGATACCGCGTCTTGAAGGGCCCATCCTGCTGTAAAGGTTTGATGAACTCCTCCCACTCCTGTCGGCTTCTTTTCACGCATGCTTCACGCCGAGTGTGGACGACTTGGAATGCACAAGCCAACGCTGTCGTCGCGGCGAGGCACCAGAGAGCGGCTGCTGTCACGATTTGCACCCGTGTGTTGCGGCGAGCGACGGCGGTGCGGCGTGCACCCGCTCCAGTGCGAGGCCGTACCACCGTCATCGGGAGTAGTGGCCCTGCGTCTCGTCGTGTGCCTGTTAGCGTGTGCAGCGGGCGGCAGCACCAGCTTCGGTGAACAACAGCACAACCGCAATGTGCGCCCGCGGTCTGTTCTATATTTCGCCCCGATTCCGTTGGGGTTTTTTTAGCGGCGGGGTATTTTGCGTAGACCCAACCACGAAATCAAAAATACAAATCCGAATTATTTCCGGTTTTTGATTCTGCACATTTTTTGACAAGATCCACCCTGACGGCACTTCGTTTTTTTAACGGTACCACTTTTGGCGGTTCACGGTATTGCGAAATATGACGGCATTCCCGCGGCATACCGGGACTGACCTACACGACGGGGTAAAAACCTCGGGAATTTTCTCGAGGACCACCCTGCCAAATAATCCCGGCTCCTTTCCACGTTTTCGGGGGAAAACGCTTCCATACAAGCATATGTTCAAGAACACACGCTTCCGTGAAATGTTCCGTGATTGTTTGGCCGTTATTAATATCCCTAGTAAAACACACACCCGCTACAGTGTCCCGCTAGAACACAAGCACAACACACAACAGACTCTACGCGAAAGGCGGGTGCAGCAGAAGGAGAACACGCGCTGCATGGCGGGTGTCGAGTTTGAGCTTCTTGGGATAGGTCTCCGGACGAAAAAACTCAACCTGATCACGCTGTTCGTTGCTCGCTGTCAAAATAACGCAACCGACGTACAGCGGCCTGCCGCCGTGTAGCGTGCCGTTCCCGTCGGAGGGGTCGTGCAAGCATCTCGGCTACACAGAGCTGCTTGTGGTTTATGTGTGATATTTCCTAGCAAGCACAACACGCTAGGAGCAATGTGCAGCAGCAGCGGGAGCAGAACGGGCGCTGCATGATGCGTGTTGCGTGCTGCATTATGACGGTGTGGAGATCGATGATGATGAGCGTTTCAAAAGAAGGACCCTCGACCACAAGTCAACCTGCTCCACCGAATGAAGAACACAGAAACCGGTTCTCACGCCACAGCAAGCGATAGCTGCTCAAACAACAGTGAGAAGTCTTGAAATCGTCCCAGCTACACAGAACTGCTGGTAGTTCTCGGAGGTTCGCCGTGTGGGCTGAGATTGGCATTTGAGACCGGGTCGGGCCAGGGGTGGGCTATACGAATGAATATGACACGGACAGAAAAAGTGAATATCGGTCGACAGAGACCCAAGCTCTACCGAGCTTGGGAAAAGTTCACTTTCACTTTTTAGGGAAAAGAGCCACATTATGGCCGCCATTAAAATGAACTTTCGACCCTAGGAAGATTTTTTTATCACGAAGGGCAGCTTGCGTCTGTCAAAGCTAAAAATTTTCATGTTTTTTCATCCTTTAGCTTTTAGCTGTTTTGGTCAACACCACGCCAGGATGGGTGCTGTTGCACACCTCACCCCACCAACGCATGCCCGCGGTCGGTCGTAGAGCTTTCTGCCAGCAGTGGGAGGACTCCTGCTTCGGCGCTGACGAAGGTGTCGACTTGTCAAATTGATGTCGGGCCACAGCTCGCTCATATTTTTTTCGAACACACACACACACCCGCCCACAGCAGCGGCGGCGGGACACCTAGTACACTCTGCATCGATCGCTCAACACGATGTAGTGCAGCATGATCCACAACAAATCATAGGGCATCTTGCTGCCTTGTGCGTTGTTGGCTCTGGCTTGAAGATTGGCGTGGTGCGTTGCGAGAGAGCGACGAGCGTTTGGGCGTGCTGGGTGCGTTTGTTGCTGGGCGCGCACACCCTGCTGTCTGGGTGCGTGCAGATGCATTCCAGCTCAACAACGTCGCGTTCCCTCTCACAAAACGCTCACAACGCTCCACTCAGACCCATCTCGGTTGGTGGCAAAGTACCTCAGAGAAGTGGAGCACACAGCGTCGAAGATTTCATCCGAATGCAAGCATCTGTTAGGGAGATTTGGTGACTTGGTCGCGGGCCGTACTGATTAGATTCCCTGCTGGTGACATCGTGACATCACATCATTGAAAGTGAAATCTTCGGAAAAAACGGGACTGGTCCCACGAACGGTGCTGTTGAAAGTGAAAGTGAACTTTTGCCAAGAATACTTCCGAAACCGTCTACTTAATTGATGTTCCGCACAGGTATCGGGTACATGGCACGTATCGGCGTCTTGGCACCCCTGTGCGATAGAAAAACCGAACTGTACATTGAAAAGACGACCGTACAGTGTGCGAAGACCCGCATTCTTGCGGTAGTCGCAATAGGTAAATGACTCCACATGAGGGCGACTTAAGGGATGCAAAGCTGAAAGACACCTTGAGTATAACAACCTGCTCCTCGAGGTTGTCCAGCTCTCGGTGTTGCTCCAGTTCCACCATCAGCTCATCGACTACGCGCTGCAACCTGACGGAACACGGGACAAACCACACATTGAAATATACGAGAAGAGGTGTATTCATCGAAAGCTCGACATGAAAACACAGCCGAGTCAAACCGCCGCATCTAGTGGTACGTGTTATGCTCTTGAACAGCGTCCATCGACATTTGTGGGGCTACCAAGGGTCATCGTGAGCCATGCGAATGCTCTTTCAAGGCAGGTATAATGGCAACGAGCAAAGAAATACAGCAGTGGTAACAGCAGCAGCAACGACGACAAAACCGCAACAGCAGGAGCGATAGCAACGCCAACACCAACTGAGCGCCACTCAGTTTGAAAATACAAGGAACCATTCGGATTAGCTCGATGGCCACGATGTGCGTCCAAACAGAGCGGCAGGTCGTGGTTCGCGCCGTGACATGGGGCAAAATCTCGAGTGACAACATGCCATACCCAAAGTTTTGGTGAACGGTTGGCGGTGGACAACACCCGCCGCCACCCAAGGATTTTCGGTAATCATCGTCCTTGCAAAGTTCGCCGCAAGGTGTTTTGACCAATCAGAACACTGCATGCCACATTTCCTACTCGACAGTACTATACCTGGCATTCTGGTCTAACGCCCTGTGGTGCCCTCGATGCCTCTTGGTAATCTGCTCGGCCGCATCATTGTTGTGCTGCCGCACGTAACACGAAGAGGGAAAAAGGGACGCCAGCACGGGTGGGAATCGCAAGGTCACATGGGAAGAGAGAAAAAGGGATGCCGGCACAGGTGGGAATCGCAAGGTCAAAGGTGGTCACTGCCGGCCTTGTCATCGCCAACGCTCTTGTTCTTGTGGATGATGATGATGGGAACGGTGGCGGTGGCTGCGAACAAGTGGGAATCGTGTTTAGGCGCACCCCCACGGATCCCCGAGACCAACACCTCATTGCACGTGCGTGAACCGAACCGAATTCCGTCAACCACGTATCCCAATACACCGGATCGAGGAAAAAGAGGAGCGACTACCGGGTCACCGATGTTGCTGTTGTTCTTGTGTTTGTTGTCTTCACGTTAAACTTGCATGCCAGTTGCTAATCCCAAAATCTAGCAAAGGCTCCGTCCGGGGTCACAAAAATGCGAGAGCCATCAGAAGATCTAAAGAACACGCACACTCAGCAATATGCATAAATATATTGAATTTCGCTTCCAGCTGGGCACTATTACTATACTTACGGCTTCGATTCGGGCGAGATTCGTGGCCCTCATCAAGAAAGCGTACTTGACGCGATCGTCGCCCTGCAGAAACTTGTTGGAATATTCCTGATCGAGCACCGCGCAGGGGCTATTGACCTGCGGCAATCGACGCCAAAGGAAAACGTTAAGCGTCCGTTGAAGATGGTGGCCCAACCCCCCCCACAGCAGTGCAAGGGCAGTGCACTAGTGTAGTGGTCCACGCGACCAATATCACCCCTCGCCGCAGCGACCTCCTCTAGCTCACGACTTGAAACCAAAGCGGTACCAAGATGCTTACTGGTACACAACAAGAGCTGCTACAAAAAAGCCAGTGACACCGAGAACCAAGAACCCACGGGTCTAGACTTATCCCCAAAACTACTCAGCCAAAGTCTCGTCAGCGCATCAACATCAACATCAACATCCAAACAAACCGAGCCCAACGGACCACGCATGGCTTCACCAAACCATCACGAGGCCCAGGTGAACACAAACGGAAAAAAAAGTGCGATGGGAGTAATCTCACCACACTCCAGCGATAAAACCAAGGGTAGCGAAAAGCTGTCACTCTATACGCGCAAGCTGACAGAAAAGAAACACGCACAACGTAACAAACCTGAATGCTAAGCATGTCCAGCATCATCGACAGCTCCGACTTGTCCCTTGACTTAATCTGGCATGGCACGGCATGGCATGACACGGGAAAGCGGCGGAGACAACGGCTCGTGTCACGGAGTGTGCACGAAAGGCAAGCAAGACGGACACCCATCTTTTGGCAGGGTGGCAACGCACAATAAAACTCTATCGTGTTCATGGAGAGAGTACAATGGTAGCGTGTCGTAGAGGGAAGCAGCAACAAGCACCTTGACTATCACCTCATACGCGATGGTCACTAGCTGTGGCCATCACAGACCATCATCATCGTGACGCGACAACGGGTACAACAATCGCAACAGCAACAACCGCAGTAGCAGCAACCACGACAAGATAATGATTTACAGTGCACCACGTCACCACCTCTACCACGACGACACCGATCACCGTGACAACCGGTACCACAACAATCGATCGCGACAGCATCAGCAGCAACCGCGACAAGTTAAAAGAACCTAAAGCAGGGCACACCCGGCGATCATGCCCGAGGAGGGCGATGCCCCCTAAGCTGGGCTGCTTGATGGTGCTCCTGACTGTGATGGACTCCCCGTACTCCTCGAACTCGAAGCCGGAAATGTCGTTCAGCAGGGTCACCTCCAGGATGGCATCTCCCTTCCAACCGTGCCTGAATGATAACACCAAAGCAGCAAGTATTACTCACACCAAAGGAAACAACCAAAGAGATGCATTTGATGCCTACAAGATGCACCCATACAGAAGAAAACAGAGACTGTTGTACTCGTCTTTCTGTTCGGTTTGGCGTGGTTCGCTGTGCTATCCAGTGCCTACTTAACCCATTCAACGACAAAATTGAAATAAGGAGTTTCCGTGGTATGAAGAACAAGGTTCTACACCCGCGCGAAAAAAAAAAACTACAAGTTAGCACACACCTTTCTCGCTGCTTCTCTCAGGCGGCGACACTTCCTCGCTTTCGTCTCCGACGGCAGCAGCATTACTAAGAGC